TTTTATTAGTGCCGACGTTTCAACCCAAACATGTGGGTCATCATCAGGACGTGGTTTGAGCACTGAAGGTATTCAAGTACTCGTATTCAGTACTTGAATTGAATTGAATGAAGTAAGGTATTCAGTACTTGAATACCTTTAGTGCTCGAACCACTCCCTGATGATTTTTTTTTTTTTTTTTTTTTTTTTTTGTTTTCCACTCTCCCATGCCACCAGGACAACACGGGTGTATGCAGTAGTGTGATGTTAAGCATTAATGCATAATAACATACTACTGCCACAATATCGGTTTACAAAATTCTAAGCTGTGCACACAGCTAGCTTTTCTACTTTGTTACATACATTACATGTTTGGGTTGAAACGTCGGCACTAATAAAAAATTTATAATGACTGCGTCCTGAATATTTATCACCCATGATATGTAGAACAGTCGACTAATTCCCTTCAATAATTCTTTAGAAAAATTAATGTTAATAATGTCACTAGAATTTTTTTTTTTTCATATTTCGTTCTCAGTAATTATTAATAAATCTGATTTTTTTTTTCTTCCTTAGTTAATTCTGTTTGAAACCAGCAATAATCCTGTACATTTTTCATAGACACAACACATTTTTTTTGTTTATGCTTCAACTTTATAATCTAAGCTTATTTTTTTTTATCATACTTGTTATTATTTGTTTTTATCATACTTTAAGTTAATCTTATTACGTAGATGTTTTTCATGTCAACCTTGTCCATTATCTTTGGCATGGGGGTCGTTCTGTCTTCTCTTAGTGAAATATATAATAAATTTAATACATATATTAAATTACAAATATATATATATATATATATATATATATATATATATATATATATATATATATATATATATATATATATATGTTCTACGCTGAGGATCTCTTCTGCAGACACAAAGGAAGAGGTTGAGCAGTAAAACCTTCCTCCTAGACGCCAGAGTTGTTTTTTTCTTGTCTCTTACGTGTTTCGTTTTTTTATAGCAGCTTCTGTCGTAGGAGTTTTATTATTATTATTTTCTTTCTTTTCTTTTTTTTTTTTTTTTTAATGACTTCCAGTAAAAACGTTCCTCCCTCATACCACTTCAGCGATTTCTTCAGGATTACAAGAATGTTTGATGAAATTCCTAATACCTATTTATAGTCTGGGAAGTATCATTACGTATTTATTTTTTTAAATATTTAATATTAGGTTAATTGGATTTTAAATAATTTATTAATTAAGAAGAACAATGGTTCTTTTTCTCTTAATTATAATAATGAAATGCATAATTAAAATTACATACGAAAATAAATATTCAGTAACTGCAGTTGAATAATTAAATGTATATTCTAGAAATTATATTGAGATTTTGATGGTGTGAGGATTCTAATTTTTTTTTTAGATAAATCCGATTAAACTCATTCTACATGTATGACTTTTAATATCAGATAGGTCGTCATTGATATAGTCTAACAAGATTTAAGTAAAGAATTTTCAAAATATCTTCCTCTAAAGTACATTTAATATATTTTATTTAAAATAAGTCATTCATTGTTAACAGTAATTGAAAATTGCTAAAAATGAACTATGAAAGCATTTTGGAATTTAAAAAAAAAATTATAAAATTAGAACCATTTGTTGTTCTTCTGAAATCGGATGAAAGCAATTTTATCGTATTTCTTTAAGCATACATAGGCTAATTTTTCTATTTTATTTTTTTTTAAACTAAAATCTAGATATCATAAAAATCTATTAAAAGTGGCATCAGAAAGCATAAAATCCCTATAGATATTGACGAAATCTGCCAATTCCAACCGGTTTGAATTCTACCTATACAGATCCTCAAGAAAAGACACTCTGATCTTGCCCACTGGAGTGAGTCCTTCAGGACTGGTGGAATCTAGTGCAGACAAAGGAACTCCGTGACGTCGCATAATCTGCCAGGAGGTAGTAAACTGAAGAAAACTTGGCTTGGGCTTGAACGACGAAGGCGGAACGTAGATATATATAAGAAATGGAGAGTTCAACGAATAATGCTGTTGGATATTAAGGTCATTTTAACTACTACATAATAATGTAATAGCAATGATTCTTTTATATATCACAATAGCTTTAAAAAGAAAAAGACATTTGTATTAAGCTAAAAAGCCACGAATCTCCAATATACAGACGAACAATCAACTTGCAAACGTTTTGTCAATTCAGGCATAATCTCAGGGCAGAATAACCAACTTATATGCAAAAAAAAAAAAAAAATCCCAAAAACATCCCACAACGCCATCCAAATACATACTGAAGGAATGAGAAGGTTCTATTAAGTTAATAGCTGTGTTAATATTATTAACTTAGCTGAGGGAGGTTATATTGAACAGCTGATTAGCAGAAATACAATGTTGGGAATGGATGTTATATGTGCATACGAGCTTTTTTCTTTTGAACAGTTGTTCTTGTATTTACGTTTTGTATTATTATACTTTAGCTATCCATATTTATTTTTCTTTCTTGTATTCTGCTAATCAGCTGTTCAATTTGCCCTCATCCCTCAACGCAATACTATAACGATTTTAACTGATCAAAAATCTAATTATAACGAGGAACAAAGATGTTTTTTTTAAACAAAATTGAAATTAGATGTCGTTAAATTTATAAGGCAGCCCGGCTTTGACCTACTATCAGACAAAAGAAGGGCAAAGCAGCAAGGCCTCGATGTGATTCCGGCATTACTTTTCTTTGTTGACGATTTCGACTATTTTTTTTGTCTTGTGTTGCCTATTAATTAAATGCTACAATCGGTGATATACATATTTTTAATCAGATATTTTCATATACACATGTATAAACATATATTTATATATATTCCGGGTGGAGGAGGACCTTCGGGCTGAAGCTCTCCCCGAAATGAATTTTTTTCTCATTTATCCACTTTTGTTCATGTAAGTGATATAAGTTAAATACTTAAACAATCACAATATTTTGACAATTTCAGTTATAATGCATATACAGCTACTAAATGGAACCACCTGTCAAGAAAAATATTTACGAAATTTTTCTCTAAAAGTGTTATTTTTCGTATAATTACTGTTTTGTTTTTTTGGGAGGGAGGAGTTTAAAAATTCTTTTTTAAATTAAGCCCTCTCCCAAAATTAAATACTGGATTCATTACAGTTATTTATACACTGTGTTTAGATATATTGTCAATTATATTACACAGTGAAGCACATACTAATAATGTTCTTTTTAATTGAGATCCATGGATGAGAAAAAAAATTTGTATTATTACGAATAAAATATCAAATCATTGACAGTGCAAGTTCCCTAACAATGATCTCTCTATCACCAAGGGGTATGAGGACCATTGACCTCTCGCTGAAGAAGGATGTTATAAATCAGCTAAAGATCCCATTATCAATTCATTCGCTATTCGACCCATGATTTATTGCCCCAAGTTGTTAGAAACGTCTCTGCTAATCTGCAACAGCCATCTCCCGGCAACAGATAAACATCCCATAATTGGCACTGCCTCCCTTCGCAAGAAAGCACTCCCTCATAAGACATCAGTTCCGGCACAATGTGCACCTATGTCATCCTCCTCGGATTTATATTTCCACTTGCAATAAACTCCTTCGTGAAGCATTTACATTAAGCGTCCAGCAAACTGCGCATGCCTGCCTCAGAGCAGACCACTGCCATTAAGATTTACATCTGTATAGCTGTGCCAAGATGGCCGCACTCGTAAACTCAACAGGCCATCTGCTGGGTTCCTTTATGGCTTTTGTTTTACCGTGTCGCCTTACGTCTTCCGCCTGCCAGTTAAATCTTTTCTTCACAATAGCATGTCTGGCATCTTAATTGAATGCTGAGATTGTCTGTGTTGAACATCAAACACACCAGTCGAACAATAATATGAAGTTCCTTGATTCATTTTAAAAATAACACAACCTAAGATGCTGAAGTTTTAGATATCATATCCAGATTTTTTTATGATAACTATAGGAACAATTATAATTTTTTTCATAGCACGTGCTTTTCATTTAGAAGGTTCAGATGCGTTATAATTTAAAAATAGTCTCAGTTCTTGTCTCGACTTCCAACGATAGCCCTGAGAATGAACCACATTGTGTGTCAAAACGTCGGCTAACCCAATAAATTTTATGACTGAAATTCCTGAAAATTTTATTTCATCCATATAATTGATCTATCGACTGCTTACCCATCTCCAAATTATTCATTTGAGGGATAAATTGTGCAAGACGTAGATGCTCCGGAGTGGCAGTCACAAAAAGATTTAAAATTGTAAAAAACAATTTTATTTAAGGCTGACGTTTCGACCCAACTTCGGACCTGCATAGTTGGTTCGAAACACGTCGGCTTGAAATAAAATAGTTTTTTCACTATTTTAAGTCTTTTTGTGAGCGCTATCCCCGACCATCTCCTTCCTCAATTATTTAAAATGGTCATCCATCGAGTATTCGATAAATTGTTTTATATAATGTCTTTACTTGGTTCTTACAGTTATTAGCTTAAATACATACATTGTAATTTTAAAAGTTTACATATTTTCATTTTTCAAGTATTTATCTTAAGTCACTCATAGAAATGAATATGGATCAATGAAATAAAAATTATTTTCCATTTTGGGAGGGGGCTCCAGTAACCACTCCTCATCCCCTCTCTCGTGAATCCACCAGGGACTCACAGAAACAAGGACATAGGAAAAAACTAAAAATGTTTCATTTTTGGTGAAAATCGTTCTCCCTCTATTCGTCAATGATCCTATTGTCTCCCTTTTATGTTCAAACATTTAAAATCCTTTAGAAAGATTATTATTCAATAGGCGACTTTGTAATAACCGTGAACTATTATATTCTTCTATCTGTAAATATAAGATACTTATTGCGAATGCCGTAGACATTAGATAATGCACACAATCTCATTGGAACTCTATTCACATAATGACAATAGGTCGTTGACGAGAAACTCATCCATCTTTATGTTGCAGGATCCCCCATCCAACTGAGTGGAACATTGAGAGCACTATCGCACTCCTTCGGTAAGTTTTAAACCTTAGACGATTTTTTAATAATAAATATAAATTTATTTATTATGTAATATTTAAGCAGTTTGCAATAATTTATTAACTATGCTTTCATATTTATTTGTACATGGGTAAAATAAAATAATAGTGCAATATTATATATGTAATTAGAAATATATTTTGATGAACTGTTTTAAATAGTATTGATAAATCTAGTGTCTTTCTATTTTATGAAAGTTACTTTTTCCACCTAGTGTAAATATTTTATATTTTTTATTATTTCGTTACATACACAACGTTTCGGAGCATGTTTCTCCATTTTTTTCAATATTATATTTAGTACATCTGCTAATTGTTCAGTGAAACTCCTGCTAATTCCTTTCATATAGTTTATTCACATTAAATTATTCTATATAGGTTCATATGAAAAGGATATGGAACAATGTGATGGTGATATGAAGAGAATTAAAATATTTTTTATTGAAAATTAGCAGGTCTACTACAATGTAATATTGAATAAATTCATAATGATGGGGTATATCCTAGAAATGTTTATTACATAACCAAATTATAAAAAAATAAGATATTTATACAATTAGGAGAAATTAACTTTCACAAACTACAAAGAAACGAGAAATATATTATATTTCTAATAATAACTTGACGAAATTATTTTAAAAATTCAGTGCAATTAGTTCAGAAACTCCAATAATACGAAGTGATAAAAAAATAAATTGTTGAGTTTGGTCTCACTCAAACACTTTCCTAGAATTCCTCATTTTCTTTTATAGAAATTGAGGGACTGTAAAACATGATGGTGCACTGTCTTCTACCAATAACTAAACTCCAAAATAAAACAGAATGATATAACAAACAATACAAAAAATTCAATAAATCGACATGGGTATACGCGCCTGTGTCCAGTACATAATGTTGTATGTGTTTATTACACTTAATTTTTTTTTTTCCTGTTGGCATAACAGGCCATGTAGATCTTTTGCCGCATTAACAAGCCTGCTCCATCTCTGCCTGTCTTGGGCTATTTCTTTCCATTTATCTGCACGAAGCTCTATTGCATCTTTATTGATTCTATCTATCCAACTGCTTGTTGGTCTTCCATGTGATCTTTTGCCTTTTATTGAGGCATTCATTGTTATGTAGAGGCTTTCAGATTGATTGCTACGAGCTACATGCCCCGCCCATCTTAACCTCGGTGCCTTCATATCATGGAATATTGATTGACCAGTTTCTGCAAGCATGTCTTTATAGGTCTTTCTTCTCCATGTGTTATTACTCTGATCCCAGATCGCTCCGGTTATCGAGCTAAGGATTTTTCTCTCAAATCTTTCAATACTTTTTTCTAGCGTGTTGAACAGTGTCCAGGTCTCACAGCCATATATTAAAACTTACTTTATCATAGTATTGTAATCATAGTACCTTAAATAATTGTTTGTATTTATTTTTGTCACCTGAAAAAATAGCAAATTCTACGTATTCCTGAGATGACGTTGTATTTACATTTTAAATACTACATGACCTGAAACGTATTGAATGGAATAAATCATCATTGATCCCTCGAACACTTTCGTCCAAAAATATAATTGTAGATCAATTATTTTATCATTATCCAATAATTCTATGTTATCTTGTAATAGATGTAATCTTTTAATTGGGTTTTAAAAGCTTCCCATGTTATCATATTAAAGAAGAAAGTTGTTATTAAACTTGTTATTAAAGTTTAAATCCTCAGAAAAGAGCATAGTTTTCACGACCTTCGCTAGATTGACGTGTAACCAATTTTTTATGGTTTCAACCAAGCGGGTCGATTCGATGTTAGCAGAAAGATCTATCAGTCAACTGAATGTAAAAATGAATCCTTTCTTCAAATAAAGGAGCTTTCCGTCTTTTATTGTTGAATTTGCTAGGGAGTTCACTTCCTAAACTGTGTAGTAAATCCCTCAAAATATAATGCACCTCCTATAATATTGGACAGAATAAGGTTATAATTAGAAAAAAAAAATCCAACCACACAGCCTTATAAATCAAAATGCAGGCAAATAATAAAAAATCCGTCAGCGTTTCGCCATTTCAGGCATGATCAGGACAAAGAGAAAAACACTTCGGAGATGACATCACTACATGTCATCCAGTCGCATACTGTTTTTGGGTATGTCATCAAAGACGTTGACGGTTTTTTTTTTATTCTCTGCCTTTATTTTGGAGAAATAGGGCACTGCGGTTGGAAGTTTTCCAATTATAACATAACATTGAATGTCTCTTGGTGAGATTTTACAGATTTATATTAATTGGACAAAATTTGATAAAATGCAAAAACTGCTTAATTGAAGTTTTTATAGACTACGTTTTTATTGGTATTTTGAAGCTTCATAAGTTTTATTTTATTCCATTAATTAATTTTTTTAACAGATAGAAACAGATTAACTATAATAAAAAAAATCTGGTGCGCACAACACACAACTTTCACCTTTGAATAGAAATTATTTTTTGGCGATGTTCGGTTATTATATTGTTTTTTTCTAAAATTCTTCGTTTTCCAACGATATATTATATGTATATCTTCTGACTATTATTTCCAGAAATTCATTTTCGACCTAACTAAACAGTTTCCCTTTTTTCTCCATTATTAAATCATCGAATTCTTTCATAAGTTATATCTAGTCTTTTTTTATAACTTCTTAAAATGAGATATAGTTAATTATTTAAAAAAAAGCAAGTTAAAAAAGTACTTTAGAGGAAGAAATGTTGAATGATATTAAAGACCACTTAATCATACAATAATAAACCGAGTTAATCAAAATTGTTAGAGCCTCATTTGAAAATATTGTAAAAACGTGTAAAATCGATTATTTAAAGTGCCTCTTCCGGTCAGTCGATTTTAGATGAACAAATTTTGTAACATCCCAGCCATATACCTATCCTTAATACGTAATATTAGTTTCGTACGATTTTTCGTTTTTGAGCTTAGACTGTTAACATTCACTAACACACTCAAGCCATTGTGCAGAACTTGGTTAATTGACTCGAGAGACCTCAAAACCTGTATTTCCGTTGAAAACTCAGATTCGAAAATTTTCACGATCGCAATACCTTTTCTAATTATATAATATATATATATATATTCTTTATATATATATATATTCTTTATATGTATATATATTCTTATATATATATATATTCTTTATATGTATATATATTCTATTATTATAGAAATTATTATAAATAATTATATTTATTTTTATATTTGCCGACGTTTCGGCCCAAAGTTCAGGCCTTCATCAGGGCTAGTCAAACGAAGGAGCGTAGAAAGACCTCCTAAAATAGTTGATTATTAAATAATCGTGAATGTAACAAAGTATAAACAAACAATTTAAGTGAGAACCTAGTGGGCGAAGGTTATGATGAAAAGTCAAGTATAAGGACCTGAAAATGTTATGTCCTCTACATAACTTTAGACAGCTACCTTATCAAATGTAACAAATTGATTTTTTTAAATATTTCTTTTTCTTTTGGATTATAAAAGAATTGCTCATGTTTCATTTAATGATACAAGTACATTTTTATTTTTTATGCAATCTTATTACGTCAATTCTAGACTCCCACTTCAATGACCTTTCAGCCGCACATGAAACTCGGACCACACGCGAAAGGCTATTCTCTCCCGAAGGACCCTTCCTTTTATTGTCATCTACGGATTCCTCACCAGGAATACTATCAAGGCAGAACCAGATGGTCGATAGAGAAAGGTGGGCGGAGGAATGTGCGCCCACGAACTAGTAGTAACGATCATTCCAAGACATGGGGAACATCTGTGCCTTACAAGTGATTGTGCCGAATGATTGATGTCCGCCTGTATTAGGTCCACTTATTTCAGAGATCGGTGCTATTTGGGAATTTATAAGTGTTAGGTGCCAGTAATGGAAGGGTGGATTGCCTTCTAAGAGTCGGGCATGAAAAGAACAAGGCCTCTCAATTATCCAGATGTTTTCCGTCAAGCAAATTGCTAGGGATATTTCCAAATTCTTTTTAAAATTAGAACAACCAAAACAATTCTCTTCCATTGTTTTGTAGGATATAGCGTCGCTGATTTCAAACTTAAGTATAAGTTTTCGGGTTCATTTATTTTATGGTGGCTAAATGAACTATTAAATGAATAAAGAAACAGCGGAATGGACAAGAAAACTGAAGAAAAAAACAACAACGAAGGACTACGTTATGGACCCTATCTCCAAAGCTTTCTGGTCGATTGCAGCACTATTTCGTGGGTAGTAGATTGTGGTTTGTAGTAGGTTAGTAACTCGAAGTAAACTTACCTTCCTTGAACCATTGTAACCATTGCGATCGTTGTGCCCCAAACTATAAATTATTTTTTAACTATGAATCGATCAGTATGTTTTAATATAATATTGATGACGTATTCATTACGATAGAGTCAGAAAATACACTGTCAAAAATAAAAATGCTAATGTACGTCAAAATTTACGTTAAAAAATATTACGTAAAATAAAAATGGCACAAGGAAGGTGGTAAATATTATATACGTATGTATGTATTATTAAATATAAACATTAATTAAAACGATAAAAAACTATAAGTCTAAAAATGAATATTTTAATTGAATTTGCAAAAAAAATTAATATCGAGATATACGAGTACAATTACTTCCAAAACATCATCAATGATGAAACAAATGTCATTCAGTAGCTCTGCTGGTTGGTTAGTTTCGTTTTATTTACATTTTAATTTTATTATGTTTTCTTGATTACGATGCATTCTATAACCCAGATTATTTTATTGAATAGAAAAAAACGTTACCTATTATTTCTTTAAACATCGTACTAACGCTTATGCTTATCGTACTAATGCTTAAGATAACTTAAGAAACCAGTTAGGAATCAGCTATAGGAAACAGAGAGTCCGTCGTACTGACCCCTTTTTTTGTTAAATTATTAACATTCGCCTGAAACTTCGTGAATAGCTTCATCACATTGTAACCT